TGTCTACATAAGGTTCCGCAGAAGCATCCCTCTTGAACTTACCAACAGAAGGAGCCCTGATTCACCAAATTTTCAAGCACAAACACAATCAAGATCAAGACATTCAGGGATAGACAGGAAAGTGATTGAAGCACTCCCATTTTTCATGTTCTCTTCCCTTAAGGGGTCCAAACAAGGCCTAGAGTGCACAGTTTGCTTGTCACAGTTTGAGGACACTGAGATTCTTAGGCTCTTGCCAAAGTGCAAACATGCTTTCCACATGAATTGCATTGACAAGTGGTTAGAAAGTCACTCTACATGCCCTCTTTGCAGGAATAATATTGACCCCTTAGACATCAAGAACTTCACCTACTCAATCAGTTCAAGGTCCCTAAGAGTTCCTTCAAATTTAACCGATGACACTAACCTTGAAATCTTAGTACACAGGGAACCTTCTTCCCATCAAGGCTCATCATCATCATCAAGGTTTAACATCGGAAGCATGTTTTGGAATTTGGGTTGGAGCAACAAGAAAAACCTTCTCGTTGACCAAGAGGTATGTGGAACAAATGGGACACACGTGCACAAGTTCTATCACAAAATTGTTGTCTCTGATGTTGTTAGAAGAAGCAGGTGGAGTGATCTTAACTCTTCGGACATATTATCATTGAAGAGTGAGATGATTCATCATGTTTCAATTGGAAGATTCTCTCCCTCTAATGAAACTTTTTGTGGAAATCCGAGCCTTTCCTCTATTTTCAACGAGGATGAAAGTTCATTTACGTTATTGAATATAGCTCAGAAGAGATCTATGTCTGATATTGCTCATATTCCAAGGTTGATAGAAACATGCAAGCAGAATAAAATGGAACCAGGTGAGGCATCAAGTGGGAATAACGAGAGGGAGGAGAGGATGAGAAGGATTTGGTTGACAATTGCTCAACGAACAGTGCAATGGTTTGCAGGACAAGAAAGAAATTCAACAGATTTAGAGATAAAACATTTAGCTTCGGATGTTTGATTTGGTACAACTTTGTATCCAGCAACAAGTGTAAACTTTACTTTTTGTGCTTTTAATCGAAGATATATAAAAGGTTTAATAGTCTTTTGTTCTAATTTTTGTGGGACTTGTTTAATTTATGTTCTCTCAAAAAAATTTCATTGTAGTTTTCTTAAAGAAAATTAGAGTGATTCATTCTATTAAATTGATATTGACATTGTTTATTGTTTAGAAAGTGACCATATAAGTGATGACTTCGTATGATCAATGTAATTGGATTTATCTAATTAATGTGATAGTAAGGTAATTGGACTTACACAATGCTATGTGCCATTTACAATAAGACATTGTCACTCTCTAAACGGTGTAGGCATTAATTTAACAAAATAAACCATGTTGACTCGTTTTAACAAATATAAGAACTATATTTAAAAAAATTGAGAAACCATATTAATAATTTCAATAGAAATTGTAAACAAAAATGTTATGAAACCAACAAATAAACTAAGCTCTGGTTGAATAGATACTTATTATATATTATGTGGGTATAAGTTAATAACTTAAGATGATACATTGAATATATGATAACTTTTTTTTTTTAATTTTATCTCAATAAATTATGAAACAAAGCTTTTCAAGCAATATACTAGTTTAGTTAAATTCTTTTAGAACATAATTAAATAGATCCATGAACTTAATGGTACTGAGGAATGGTTTCCAATCACAAGTTAAACACATTATAATAAAATAGGTATTTAGTATTGGCCAAAAGTCAATGCTAACAAGAAAAGATTATGCTAAATAGCAGTTAGTCTTTTTTTATCAGTAAAGTATATATACTATATATATTTGAAACTTAAGGTGCTCTAACCCTTATACAAAAGATATTTACATTGTTATTTACTTTACGTCTCTATAAGCATGATTAAAACATTTACATTTGACATCAAAATATCTCTATCTTATACCATATAGTCTATTATTGTCACATACATGAAACATTAATGTGCAGGATCATACTTCAAGATGTTGCTACCAACGCTTCAGATTGTTCGTATTAACATATTACAATCTGGCCTAACATAAGAAATGAGTTTGGTAGCTTTAGACATAGTAAATCCCATGATCATCTGGTTGTACATTGTAGCAACCCATTGTTAGTTAGCTCAAGTTTGTTGCAACATTAGGAGTTGAAGATACTTCTTTTTGTTTTGTTTTATGTCAATAGCCAACAACTTTGCTTTCCTAGGATGCTCTCCTCATCCATTTTTTCTCACATTTAATTTTCATATACAAAAACAAAATAAATCTCTGAGCTAAATAGTCTGAGTTATGGGTTACTTTTTTATTAGCTTGTCTTCTATTAAATGACTTTGTCTTACATGTAACGTTCATGTTATTGGAGGCAAAGTGAAGACAAAGTAACAACTTGAAAACCATATACAAATGTCCTTATTTATGTATATATGTGTAATGTTTTTCTCTTTGTGACCACTATAATATTGCTCTTCACACCAGTGTTTTGATCCATTACACAGGTCAAAGTATTAATCGGAGTATAAAAATATAGATTATTTATTTTTAATCCTTTTCTATGCCTAAAATCTTATATGCGTCATACATAATATTTCCAATACATCAACCCTCTCATTTCTAAATATAATGTCATTTCTTTCATTCCATATACACCATATAATGGCTATCCACACCCCCATCGAAATCATGTTTCCTTTCTAAACTTAATTCCATTAGGTAGAATTGTTTGAAGTGTGTCCTTGCTTGATTATGGTATACATTACTAACTCTTATCCAAACATCACACATGTTCCATATTGTGCTAGCTATCTTACACTAAAAAAATAAGTGACTAGTTGTTTCCACACATTCCGCACACAAACACATAGATCATTTCCTAAATTACTATCCCTCTTTGTTATATTTTCATTAGTAGTCAATCAATTTAATATTATTTTCCAAGTAAAGTATTGGGGTTGTAGGAACGACTATAGTCAGTGAAGTAGGGTACAAGAGTGTGACTGATTCTTTCCACTGTGGTGTTTATGATATAGTGATACTCATGGTGTTTTCATGACTAGGATAGTAATGAAGGTGGTGTATATATGATGGTGATCATAGTGGTTGAGATGCTACAGATGATGTGATGTGATAGCGATGTTACTATAATAGTTATAGTAAGTAGTTAGAATAGGTGCTAATGAGTGGATAGACCAAGGGTGTATGTGCAATGTTAGTGAGGAAATCAAGGATTAGAGATCAAGGATCGATGATCAAGTAATTCGTTTTGATAGAATTGTTCTGTTAGAGGATTAGAGATCCTATTGTTATTACTAAAATATATGAGGTGTTTGATTATTGTTGATTTAATCAGTATGTTTATGTCATGTTATTATGATTATTTTAGCGGTAGCTTACTCCATACGTGTTTGTATTATGTGTTTATGAATGGAATTATAGGAGATGATCAAATAATACGTTAAACATGAACTGATGATGTTGTAGATGGTGTTGAAGCATGATAAATTTGGGAGATGACGAGGTACAAACTTGGGGTTTTATTCAAAGTTATTGCATTTGAATTTTAGACAAAGTAATTAAAGTTGTTTTATTTCCTTCGTTATTTCTATTGGACAAATGTTTTTAGAACTATTATGTTTTGAAATAAATTATGATGTTAAATGTTGAGATTTTTGAAAATACATTTTCGCGCAAAGTTATGTTTAAATTTTTACTAGTTTTTAATTAACCCGTGACATCCTGAAAATTTGGGGCGTTACAGAAGTGGTTCTCTACCAAGTTGTTTCAAGTTGTTCTTTATTCCATCATGTGTCGAAGGAAGGTGTTACTTTCATCTCTTATCGATTAAGAGAGGTGTTTTCTACTTCACTTTGTTCATTACTTATATTGTATTGTTAAACCAATTTTAGTGAAAGGTTGATTACTTATTTTAAAGTGATTAACAACTGGATGTAGAATCTTTTGATTCGAACTAATATAAAAATTATTTGTGTGATTTTCTCTATCCCTTCATCGAAAAAAAAAATTAAAAGGGAAAACTAAAATTTTAATATAACCAATTTATCCCTCCCCTCTTGGTTTTGTGTCAGAACACGCTTTTAAACATTCCACTGCGCAATACCAATTCCTACACTTTTGTCCATATATTTGACAATTGCTTTCCTTTAAGTCTTAATCTCTCTACGTTCCTAAAGACTAGGAGACTACTAGGATATGACAAGAGGAAAGTTAGAGAAATGAAAATTTTCCTTACAAATCAAGACTCTCAATATGATTTCGAGTATAGGGCACTATTGTACAGGATAAGATCCAGATGACATCATCTCCTAAGATAAACATCATCTCGACCTTAATTAAGGAACATTATTAAAGTAACCAAATAATTAACATTCAAGTTAGAATACCCTAAATAGTCTTAGGCAACTTACCTTATGTAGATTCTCTCAAGTAAAGACCTATAAAATAAGTATAAGAAAAGGTGATTGTTTATGAGATAAAACTGTTCATTCAATTTTTTATCATATTTTAAATTTCTATATCTGATGAATGATTAACTTAAGCATTGGAGTGTCTTTATAAGCACCCACCTTAGCATTCTGGTTAGAGAGGATACATTCATCTTAGATCAAAGAAGCTTGAAGAAACATTTTATAAGGACATTATAAGAACAAATATAAAAAATGATTATCAAATAGAATAAATCTCTTAGGATTTCTTTATTTTCTTGGTGAATTATATGTACAATTTTAAAAGTAGCTTTATTTGTGTTGATGCCATTATAAATATCTTTAAATTGATTTATTTTCCCTATTTATATAGTTTTACCTAAAAAAATTGGGTTATATATGTTTTTAGTTTCTAAACTTCGATGCGAAATTTGAAATTTATTATTGTCCTAAACTTTGATACAGTTGGGTTAAGCTATAAAAAATATGAATAAATATAGTTTTTCTAATCCAACACTTCTAATTTTTCAGGCTTATTAAACAATATTCAACATTGACATTTGAAGTGAAATATGTTAAACAGTGTAAACAATTCAAATATTAGTCTAAAATGTGTTTAACACGTTAAAAAAGTTTAACGTAGTTAAGTTAAGGAAACTACATTTATTCATTTATAAAATTTAGATATTAGAATGTATCAAAGTTTGAGAGAAGAATTCTAATTTTGTGTTTAGAGAATAAAAATATATTTAACTCAAAAATTATTTATATATATTATATTAATAAAGACAATTGAATAAGTTAACCATTAAGAACAAGTATCCATTGCCTAGGAATGATGACTTGATGGATCAGTTGTATGAGGCTACTGTGTTTTCCAAGATAGACTTGAGGTCAGGATACCATCAGATTTTGGTTAAGGAGGGTGATGTGCAGAAGACAGCCTTTAGGTCTCGGTATGACCATTATGAGTATGTAGTAATGTCGTTCAGTGTTACTAATGCTCCGGCTATATTCATGGATTACATGAACCGTATCTTCAGACCATTCTTAGATAAATTCATTGTTGGCTTTATAGATGACATACTTATTTATTCTAAAACTCATGAGGAGCATGAGGATCACCTTAGGACAGCACTCGGTGTGTTGAGGGAGAAGAAGTTGTATGCCAAACTGTATAAGTGTGAATTCTAGATGGAAGAAGTGTAGTTTTTAAGACATGTAATCTCAACAGGAGGTATCTATATGGATCCTACAAAGGAGCAGGCGGTGCTTCAGTGGAAGAGACCTCAGTCGGCCATTGAGATAAGGAGTTTTGTGGGATTGGCGGGCTACTATAGGCGGTTCATTGAAGGATTTTCTAAGATAGTAGTGACGTTGACACAATTGAGTAGGAAAGATCAACCTTTTGCATGGACCGATCGGTGTGAAATTAGCTTTCAAGAGCTAAAGCAAAGGTTGACAAGTGCTCCCGTGTTAGTAATTCTTGACACAGGAAAATCTTTTGAAGTTTTCTGTGAGGCCTCTTACCAAGGGTTGGGCTATGTACTAATGCAAGAAGGGAAGGTGGTTGCATATGCTTCAAGGCAACTTAAAGTTCATGAGAAGAATTACCCCACTCATGACTTGGAGTTGGCAACAGTGGTGTTT